GCCTTCCACTCCCTCCCTGCTCCATTTCTCTTCCTCCCACCAGTGAGCTTGGGTGGGGGAGGGACTCGGGTCCCGCGGAGCCACAGCTCTGGTTACCCCATTCGCTGAGGTCTGCTCTTTTCTCCAGGTGTGTGCAGTCTGATGCGTCCTCTTTCCTGTTGCTCTCTCAGGATTAGTTGCGCCAATTAAATTTTCTAATTGTATCCAATTTTAGGAGGATCCTCTGTCTCTCCTCTCATGCTGCCATCTTTAATCCCACACTTGACCCAAGTCTTCTAATTGCATTTATCCATTTTTTGCTTAATAAGAGGGTATAGGGATAAATTCAAACTTTTTATAAAAGTATCCTTCTTAAAATATTGTGGGGAGTGATTCTGAAATAAAACAAAGGTTAAATATACAATAATTATCCTGTTCAGTATGTATATAACAAGAGTCCTATTGTTTTATGAAAAGATATTGGTTAAATGGGCTACATGGAAGTAATAATTCATCTCTTAAAATAACTCTTCCATTTTCATAAGGGTTCCAGTTTTGTACTCATACTGTGCTTTGCACTGGAGAGTCTGCCACTGCCACAGGATAGAAATCCACAGTCTGCTTTCTAAGCCAAGACAGTAAACATTTTTCAGAGCAGACACACAGGAAAAGAGTATATCCTATTTGTTTCACAGGTTTAAATATTATCTTTATCTTCCAAGTGTTTTACATTTCTTAAAGTCTGAGACTTTATCTCTTTTTCATGAAGACATTAAATAAGAACTTACTGAACTGCTGGTTTTCTTGCAGCAAGAAATACCTACATTTATTGCAATCTGGCTAGCAAGTGACTTATCTGCCATCTGATTATTAAATTTTTGGATCATTTGGACAAGAATTGCAAGTTATATCAGGCAGTTATATACAGGATATTTAACAGCCCCATTAGATGTATGTGTAATCCTTAATAATGTTAGCAAGAGACAAAATATTTGCTTCATCTTAGGTAGACTGTAATGGAGGCATTTATTTCATTAAATCACACAGCAGGAAATTAAATTGAGAATAAGAATATTGGTAGTTTCTTCTTTTATTATTATTGTGAAGAATATATCTAGCATGTAATATATGACCCCAAATTCTATGCCATTCCTTGGATTTTCCATTTGTAATTTCTTACAACTAATGGACTTACTGGATTTTTTTTTTAATGGGGAAAGCAAACAAGTAATTGTTTATAATACAAAAGCAGCATGGCCTGTGGGAAAAGCATAACCGGGTCTATACAACTATCCCCCTTCCCTCCTGGAAATCTGAGGCAAATTACTTACACTTGCCAAGCCCCACTCTTCTCAGCTAAAACAGGAGTATCACATAATGCCCCCACCCCATTAAATAATTTATATCTGCAATTATATGATTATGATTGTGTTTACATGAATAGATGTTATTAATTCATTGTAAAGAGCTGACAGATACCTGCTTTCTAGGTGATGGGATAGTACCCTTATGGAGTTCCCATTCCAGAGAACAAGACAGAAAGTGAATAAAGAATCCACCAGGGTGGTTTTCTTCTGTCTTAGCAGTGAGGTCTGAGACAGCATTTAAACCACACTGCTTTCTGCTTTTGCCACCTTTCCATCCTCAGCTGAAGAACTGTAGCCCTCCTCAGCCTCAGACTATGAGATTACACAATTTCTCAGTTTGTAATAAGGCACCATTTCTGAAGCTGTGGAAATAAATCACTCAGCACTTGTTAGCTGGGCAAAAATGAAAGAGACCTCTGCTCTTCAGACACCCTCCTAGGGCTCATGCATGAAACACGCGAAAGGATTAGTAAGTGGCCAAGAGGCAAACTGGACACAGAAAAGCCATATCACCAGCCTTCCAGAACTCTGAGACAGGTGTTTATCTAAGAACAGTCGGAAAAAAAGACTAGCAATTCCTCATATTCTCAGGTGTCTGTTAATCCAGGATTTGTGAGCAGCTTCATATAAACAGGTGACTGGTGGATTCAGATGTGGGGTGCACAGATGGCTTTATTTTCTGAGTTCAAAAAGTGAAAACATCATGGTCTAATCACCATTTAATTTCTGAAGTCAAAGAGTTAACTCATAGTCTTCAAAACTGCTTTTTGCTTTTTCCCATGATATTCAGTGGCCACAAACAAACAGCAATAGTATTTGGCCATGACGAGTGCACACAGGAGACAACTTGATTTTTCTCCCATCACAGCCTTCAGGGCTCTTCAGAAGCCCCTTTCTCCACACATTCAGACATCCCCTCCATCTGTGATACATTCATGTATTCATTCAAGGAGGGGGTGTTCATACATTCCTTTTTGATGTGCTTTCATCAGGGCAGAGGATGCGGGAATGAAGGAAGAAGGCAATGTCATACATATTAATGCTGGGATAACAGAGGCCCCTGGGAGGGATCTTCAGCACCTCTGACACGGACAGTACCCTCGATGGCTGGTCTATTCAACCCCTTCCTCAGCTTGGGTAGAACTTGGCCACTTACCTGCAGGCAGGTCCCACAGCATCTTCATCCCCTCTCTCCATATCAGACACATCTATTTCAGTTAGTTACCACTTCTCTAGATAAAAGCAGGCACCAATTTATGTCATGCTCCTGAATTCCTGGAGATACATGTCAGGTTCTGCAAGACTCTCTCACCAAGCTCTACCCCAGTGGCTTCACAAAGACTGGACTACAAGTGGCTGAGCTCACTTCTTCCCATCTGGCAGGGAGAGGTCAGATGCTACTCTTTACAGGCATTTCCATTTTCGACATTTGATTCTCTTAGAGATTCCCTAAATTTGGCCTGACTGGGAGTGAGAATCAGGTAGACAATCTCTTCCATTCCCTACTCCTGTAAGGGGAGAAGTCAAAGCTCTCTCTACTTTAATATTCCTTTCGAGGAATCCTCTTGGATTTCTAGAGGTGGAGAAGACTCATTGGACCAAGTGCTCTCTTGTTGGTAAGTCCTGAGTGCTTATATCCGGCAGCTTGCTCTTTTAGAATGTGTACATAATCCACCTATTATCCTAAACTTGAAGTTTCTAAATTTGAAATTCTAAGGCAGCAGGAAAATCCCATTCCATATCCTATTACATTTTATTAAGTTTATTTGAACTATGATCTAAATTGAGATACCAAACAAGGACTTTAAAGGTGGAACCCTAATATAGGAATTCACAAGACTTACCTGGTATTTTTATTTCCTTTATACAGGAATTTGTCTGACTAAAGATCTGCTTGTACTCGACTTCTCCTCTTGGCAATGAGTTCACATTTACTTCTGTCATTATTTTTCAAATCAGCTTTTTTCCTTTAAGGGAGACAGAGAAACAGAGGCTCATGGGGAAAAGGTAGAGAAAGAAAAAGGAGAGAATGTTTGTGAATGAGAGACTCAGAATTTTTCAATTGTAATTTTAGCTCACTACCCTGAATTCCTTATGCCACTTTTCCCCCAAAGATAAAATAACACCTGATATATGATGTTCCCTACTTTTTGTGGCATGACCTACATCTTTCAATGGTTATGTGCTTGTAGGAGTATTTTGAGAACAACATATGTGAATTTATCCTGAATAACAGCAGAAGTAATCTTCTCAGAAGCCATATCATTCTATTCTGAGTGTGAGAGGTTATTCCCAGCTGAGATCAACTGGCTTTGAGATGCAGAGACTGGCTGACTGCTGACTGGCTGGGATGGTGGCCCTCAGGCTTCTATCTGCAAGAGTTGATAAGCCTGGGAACAAGAGAACCTTCAAAGATTTGTGTGAGGTACCTGAGATTATCAAAATACATAAAACTGAATGATAAAAATCATCAATATCCCAGCCTAGTGGCTAGGTCAGATCCCCTTCAAAGAGGTCTGAATTTCTTAGAGGATTTTTATAACCAATCTGTAATTTCCTTAATTCTGCTGAATCAGACATGTTTGCTTTATTAATGGTCATCGAACATGCTCAGGCTCTATATTTTAGTTGGAAAGGCTATATAAACAGTGTTTCTTTATCTTGAACCAGCTATCTTGCCTTCTGTGGATAACTGCAGTGTATTTAAAACAACAACAGCAAAAAAGGTTTATGTACTTGTTACAAGCTATGGAGAATGGTTTATTAAACCTTTAACCTATTGGTATGCCAGTGCTGTAAACAATCCTTTTGCACTTGTTTTATGCACTAGGCCTTAAATAAGGACACAGAACTGTTCAACATACATGAGCTGTAGCTTCATCAGTAAGGATTAACATTGGGTACAGGGCTTAAGAATCTGTAGCTAATTCCATGTGTAAGAACAAAAATCTCTACATTTGTTGAGACAAAGCTCAAGTAATCCGAATGTCCTCACACCCCACCAAACATAAAAGTAGTGAAAATGAGGTAATACTAAAAATCACTTCCTAAATCCCATGACTTGTTGGCTTTGACTTGCTAAACTGCATGGCCTCAGCTACCTCCATCAACGCCACTCCCACCAGTCTCTTTTTTCTACTTTTCTCTTGTGACAGTTTTGTTATTATTTTCCTAGAAGATTCTCCCCACCCACCCACCCAAAGTAGCAGCAAATAAGGTCACGGAGAACTCCCCACCAATATTGACATTTCATAGCCTCAAGCACACAAAGAAAGATTAGACCAATTATCTCTTGATGCAAAGTGTAAAATCTAAAGGCACAGAGTTATTCGCCCAGTTCAGGTGGTGACCAACACCTGGTCAATTAACTATTATCAAGATGTTGAGCACAGTGGACGTAGGCTGCTTCTGTTTTGGTGGTAGCCTGAGAACTATAACAACTCTTTCCTAATAGGAAATGAAGGGTTTAAGTTTCCATTGTGTCACTCATTCACCTATTATTTGCCAGATATTTTACTAGATTCTTAGGATACACCCATTAATAAGAAAAGTAGTTCTTGTCTAACAGAATTTATGTGTTATGGTGGAGAATGATAATTAAACAGGAAACAAAACAAAAATTCAGTAAAATAATAACTAACATAAATACTTTTAAAGAAATCATGTACCATGCTCAATACTTCATATGCATTAGCTGCTATAATTTTCATAAAACTTACTAGGATAACTTTAAAACTGAAGAAAACTGAGGCTTAGCTTGGCAGTGCAATTTATGCCATCTTACCCAGCTAAGAAAACAAAGCTGGGATTTTGAGAGAGGTATGAATAACAACAAAATTCACACCTTCTAGACTAAGTTAACACTCTAAACATTATTCTGAAAGAGAAGCACACAAGAATACATAACAATGACTTTCATGATCAAGGAAAGATTCTCAGAAGAACTAAAGTATAAACAGGACCTTTAGCATAAATATACTTTAGATAACCAGAGAGGAGGTGGTGTATTCTAGAGGTAACAAGAGCAGAAGCAAAGAAATGGGAGTGAAGATGGTTGTGGTCAAGGAAATAAAAAGACCTGCAGTACTGCTGAAGCATAGGAAGGGGAAAGTGCTATCAAGAGAAAAACTAGATGAGAATTAATTTACATCACATGTATCAGTTTGTACCTTTTTATTGAGGAATAGTATTTCATTATTTAGATGTACCACAATTTGTTTATCCATTCACCTGTTGATGCGCATTTGAATCATTTCCAATATACAGATAAATCCACTATAAACATTTGCATGTTTATATGTCATTGTTTAAACCTATCTTTTATTTCTCTTTGGATAAACACCTAGGAATGGAATGACTGGAGCATATGGTAGTGTAGGCTTAATTTTATAAAAAATTGCCAAAGTTTTCCATAGTTGGACCATGTTACATTCTTACCAGAGTGTATAAGGGTAAAAGTTCCTCTACATCTTCACCAACACTTGGTGTGGTCAATCTTTTTAATTTTTAACTTCTAGTAGGTGTGAGATGGTGTATCCTGGTGGTTTTAATTTGTGCTCCCCTAATATATTGAACATCTTTTCAGGTAGTTATTTGGATCCATATATTTTCTGTGATGAAGTGTTTTCTTCAGATCATTTTCCCATTTTAATTGGGTTGTTTTCTTCTTGTGTTTTGAGATTTCTTTAATATTCTATAATTCAGGTCCTTTATCAAATATATGATTTCCAGATACTTGCTCCTATTTTGTGCCTTTGATTCTCTTACCAGTGTCCTTTGAAGAGCAGAATTTCTTAAAATTTTGATAAAATCTGATTTATCAATATTTTCTTTTGTGAATCATGCTTCTGGTAGCATATCTAAAAATTCTTTGCCCAAACCCAAAGTCACAAAATTATCTTCTGGATGTTACTTTAAAAACATTCCCATTGTATGTTTTACACTTAGGTCTATTATCTATTTCAGATTAATTTTTGAGTCATATGGAAATTTGAGCCAAATAGCCAAAACAACTTTGAAAGAGAAGCACAAAGTCAGAGTACTACCTGATGCCGAAGTTATCATACAACTGCAGCAATCAAAACAGTGTGGTACTGACCTAAATACAACAATGAGACAACAGAACAAATCAACTGATTTTCAACAAAGGTGCATATATAATTCAGTGAAAAGGGGTGATCTTTACAACAAATCATGGTGGAACACTTAGATGTCCATATGCAAAAATAAACTTCAATTCATACCTCATGCCATCCAAAATTGGTTGTAATTATTAACAAAATAGTGAAAAGTAGATAACAAAAATGTGAGTAATGGAATCTTGATTAACACAACAGATACATCAATATTTGTCAAGAATAAACCAAGACGTATATAGGAATAAAAATACCAGGGCAGAAAAAGGTTTCACTAAAATAAAATTATCATATAATTGCTACACAGATAAAAACAGTTATCACAAAAAGCAGGTGCAAAAAGAAAAAGGTTTCAATTACATCAAAGGACTTTGGAAAGGAAATTTCATCATTTTAGAAAAGAGTATTTTCTTATTCCAGTTCTTTTCAGGCTTATTGTTAGTCATGGGACCCTTTACTCAAGGAAAATTTAAGCTGAACTAAAAACAACTTGTTGAAGCTAGGGTGAGGAGTCAAAACCACATCAGCTTACCGTTCTCCCCCAGCTTTCCATACATGCACAGAAACACCTACCATTGAGGTCCCTAGAATTATCCAGGTAGATTCAGTTTGAAGACTAGGTTCTTTGTATGAGTGTGAGAGAACTGTTTCTAGAGTAAGAGAATTGTGGATCATCAGTATGCACATTTTCAACTTTATTAAGATGTATTAGTTTCCTAAGGCTGCCATATGAAAGAACCTGAAAGAGAAGCACACAAGAATACATAACAATGACTTTCATGATCAAGGAAAGATTCTCAGAAGAACTAAAGTATAAACAGGACCTTTAGCATAAATATACTTTAGATAACCAGAGAGGAGGTGGTGTATTCTAGAGCAACAAAAATGTAGTGTCTCCCAAATGATTTCACTCACTCATATGTGGAGTATAAGAACAAAGAAAAACTGAAGGAACAATACAGCAGCATAATCACAGAACCCAAGAATGGACTAACAGTTACCAAAGGGAAAGGGACTGGAGAGGATGGGTGGGAAGGG